GTGAACCAGTATAGACGTATTCGAGTATGATCTTCATGTTCGATGCATCAATATTTGGGAATGATATTTGCGTATCATAAGTCTCCTTCATTTTGTTGAAGAGCATGCAATTGAAAAATTCTGAGCGAACAGCAAGAATTGCACGATTGGCGTGAAGGACAATTTCATCTTTGCACTTGATTTCCAAATCACTGTAGTGAGGATTATTGATCAAGGTTCCCAAATCTTCGGATAGTGATTCTCCACGAACTAATTTTTCAAACCGTGCCTTCATTTTTATAATTTAAGATTTGTGTATTAGTGAATTTTGCAATGTCTATGCGTGGTTTATATACAATATTTGTGCGGAAAAAATCTGCGGAATTTTTCTACAATGTAACGTGCGTGATCACATAATTCAGCATGATACTTTGTCTTAATATGTATTCGCTATACTTTTTTAATTTGTATGAAAGGAAGTTAAGAAAATATCGAGAAAAGATGCTGCAATACAACTCATGCATAAGTTTTCCCCCATGATTCCAGTCAATTCGCCCAAAACGATGGATTTTTCTTTGACACCAATGAACAATTTTTAAAATCCCAATGTCCATTTTTGTTTCTCGGTAGATGAATAAATTTGTACCGTACGCAAATCAAAAAGCATTGAATGACGCAATTCCCCCCTTGAAACGGAAATTTACAATTTATCGATTACATCATTAGTATGACGTTTAATAATTTTTGAAGATAAGTGGGTCCAAATCCCAATAAAATAAGGCATAAGTCCGAAGCGTATAATGATAGTCATATCCGCAGTTTTGGTCGGAGCCTCGTGCGGGGTATCAAAATATACAAAAAAAGTCAGAATATACATTTATTTCATTGTTTTGCCAAAAGAAGTGCTCCACCAACAGTTATTGCATGCGGTATACCATACATGTATTAAGACAATATGCTGTACTCACTCGCTTCGATATAGAATATAATGTAGTACAGCCATGAGCCTCCAACATTGTAACGATAATTAATTTAAGCCCGTTTTGCTTCCATCCCCTTTGTTGTATCTTATACTAATGGCGTGATCCTTCTTCACGAAGCTTTATTTTACCCTCAGGTGACATTCTCGATTTTTCCACTCAACATGTCCGATATAGTAATAATAGATTCAGAATATTAAATCATATACGTATTTGTTTTTTAGTCACCCATATGTAACTAAAAAATTATGACTTTAGAAAAAAAATAAACAATAAAAATTCATTATTCCTTTTGAATAGAAATTTTGAAATATAAGGTTATAAGAAATTCTTTTTCGAAAGTATTTTTATATATTTTTGAATTATTTTATTTCAATAAATATTAAACAACTTTATTGATTATAAGTGAAAGTAGTGAGTAAAATTAATAATATTTATTTTTATTTATTATTTTATTTTTATTTATTTTCTTATACTATATATACAGTATATGTGTGTGTGATTTTCTTTTCCTTTTTCTTTTATTCCTTTATAACTTTTAACTTTAATAAAAAATCCAAGACTTTAATCTTATTCAATAATTAAGCAATATTTTATTCTTATAAATTATTTATAAAGATTTTGTACCATTAATAAATAAACCAAATTAAAATAAGTTTATATAAATATTCATAGCTTATATTTATATAATTTAATAAA